TATTTCACCATCCTCCTGCATGACAAGTGCTGGAATTACAGGTGTGTGCCACCCTGCCTTGCACTACTCAGACTGCTCTTGAACTCATAGGCCCAAGTGATTCTCCCACCTCAATCCGTTGAACAGCTGGGACCAGAGGCATACACCACGTCAGCTCTCCCTTATACTTTTAAGTATTTCTAGATTACTCATAATAGTTGATACACTGTAAAATGCTATGCAAGTTGTTGTGATACAGTGCTGTATTGTTTAGGGAACAAGGGCAATAAAAAGCCTGTACTAAGTTCAATATTAACATAGCTGTTTTGTGTATGTATATGTGGTACTGTGAATTGAACCCAGGATCTTCACACTGAGCTATATCCCCAACCTTTTATTTTTTTATTTTGAGACAGGCTTTTGTTAAATTGTTAAATTGCCCAGGCTGGGCTTGAACTCGCAATTCTACTGCTTCTGCTTTCCTGAGTGCTGGTATGAGCCACCACATTTGACTCATACTTTAAAATTTTTCTTTAATTTTAAATGGCAAATAACAAATGTACATGCTCATGGAGTACAAGGTGATGTTTTGATTATTTCAAAGGAGGTAACATATCTATCACCGTACAAACTTATTTTTTCAGGTGTGGTGGTGCAGACCTGTAATCCCAGTACTTGGTAGGCTGGGGGAGGAGAGTTTGAGGCCAGCTTAAACTATATAGGTAGACCCTATCTCAAAAAACAAACTTATTCTTTCCATGATAAAACTTAAGAGCTGTTATTGTAGCAATTTTGAAATATGTGATACATATGTGACACATAGCATGGTTATCATGCTATGTAATAGATCTAAAAAACTTAATGTCTTAGCTACTTTTCTTGTTGCAGAGATAAAATAGCCCATACTCAAAGTCAAAGGAGGAAAGGTTTATTTAGCTCACAGTTTGTAGAGATCCATCACCTTGTCCCCTTCTATCCATCCTTTATTAGTTCCTGTGTTTGTACTTTGCCTCACTCAAATGATACTGTACAGAATTTAAGCTTGTGTGTCTGGTTTATTTCACTTAACATTATATTTTCTAGATGCATCCATTTTCCTACAAAAATCTCAAATCTTTTTTTTTTTTTTTTTTTTTTTTTTTTCATTTTTTTTTTTTTTTTTTTTGATACCAGGGATTGAACTCATGACCTTGTACTTGCAAGGTAGGAGAGGTGCCATAGAGCTAAATCCCTGGCCCTCAAATCTGTCATTCTTTAAAGAATTTCATTATATATAGATACCACATTTTCTTTAATCATTTGATGATGGTATACAGGCTGTGTCCAGGATTTAGTTATTAAAAATTGTGCTTCTATAAACATTGGTATGCATGTACTACTATAGCATGATGTCTTAAGCTCTTTGAGGAAGATATCTAGCAGGGGAATTGCTGTCATAGATTTTTTTTAATGATTGAATCTATTGGATATGGAATGTGAAGATATGTAAGGCTTGAATATATTCTGAAAGTTTATTAGACTTTCCAATAGACTGGATGTGGAATATGGAATAATGGCACTTATTAAGGTGAACACTGAGGGAGAAGCAGGTTTGAGAGAAAATTATTCAGTCTTAACTATGTGAAGTTTTAGATGGCCATTGCCATCAAGTAATTGCAATAATAGAGAAAAATTGTGGTTCTGATATTTTAATATTGAATATTAATATTGCTTTAGTAACAATAACAATGATAAAGCCATATACACCATGGAAATGGAACTAGTATTAATATAACTATGAGTTGTTAAGTACACATACCTATGTTTCAAGTAAAAGGTTAAGTATATTGCATAATGTTTTGGATTTCATAATTTTTGGATTTTGTAATGTTTACATGTGCATAGTGAGGTGTCTTAGAAACCCCAGTCTAAAAACTGCAACTCATTTATGTTTCATATATACTTTATATTCACATCTGGAAGGTAATTTTATGTAGTTTTCTGTGCATATGCATTTTGATTGTGTTCTTGCTCATATCAACATGAGGTCAGGTATGGAATTTTCTACCTTTGCTGTCACGTGGCACTCAAAAAGTTTTGGATTTTGAGCCATTCTGGTGGTGCATGCCTGTAATCCCAGCACTTGGGAGGGTTAGGAAGGGCGATTGCCAAGAGTTCGAGGCCAGCATGAACTACATAGCAAGACCACTCACAAATTAAAATTTAAAAAATGTTTTGGATTTTGGAACATTTCATATTTTGGAATTTTGGATTAGGGATGCTTAACCTGTATCTGGAATAAAGGACCTAATGAAAGACTATTGAAGATCTGAGATATTCCTATTATATTACTTTGTGAACATTCCTATCTCAGTAATGGTTACATATAACAATAGTTGAGTAGTTTAAAAAGTCACATGCCAAAAAAAAAGTCACATGCCACTAGTTTTTTCATTACATATTTTCCTGCGACTTGTTTTGCATTTAAATATACCTCATACTTTCAATTCAGTTTTTAAACTTTGTCTAAAATCTTGGATAGGATTGTTACTGACAATGATATTAACAACAATCACTTAAGAAGCTAGGAAAACATCCTCTTAGATGCTTTAATAAATAATTTCATAGGAGCGCCATAATAATTCACTTAGATAATGCAGAGGCTGTTTGGTGGTGCATACTATATATAATCTCAGGATTTGGGAGGCTGAAGCAAGAGGATTCCAAACTGTAGCCCAGCCCAGACAATTTAGTGGCTTAGTGAGATTCTGTCTCACGATAAAATATAAAAAGGGTTGGGGAGCCAGGCGTGGTGGCTCACGCCTGTAATCCCAGCACTTGGGAGGCTGAGGCAGGAGGATCGCTGTGAGTTTGAGACCAGCCTGGGCTACATAGTGAGTTCCAGGTCAGTCTGAACTACATAGTGAGACCTTGTCTCAAAAAAAAAAAAAAAAGGTTGGGGGTCAGGCATGGTGGCATACACTGTAATCCCAACACTTGGAGGGAGGCTGAGGCAGAAGGATTGCTGTGAGTTTGAGGCCAGGCTGTGCCATGTATTGAGTTCAAGCCCAGCCTGAACTATAGTAGTGAGACCCTGTCTCGAAAACAAACAAAAAACGAAGAAAAGGGTTCGGGATGTAGTTCAGCGTGAAGGCCCTGCATTGAATCCCCAGCTAGGGTGGAGAACAGAAGGCTGTGGATATGGTATCTAAGGTGAAAAATAAAAATAAAAGTTATTATTTTTGGGAAATGGTGTTAAATGTCAAATAATTTGCAAAGTATATAAACTTATTAGTAGCAGCCTTTCTAAACAAACATAATAATGATAGTAGCATTTGTTAGAAGGGATGGAATAATGAGCAGAATGGGAACTTGTATCCCAAATGTATTTCCTTTATTTTGGTTTGAGACAGGGTCTTGCTATGTAGTTCGGTATGGCCTTGAACTCACTATGTAGCCCAGGCTGGCTTCAAACTTGCTGCAATCCTGTTTTAGCCTCCCAGGTGCTGGAATTACAGGCATGGGCCACCACACCTAGTTCCAACTGTTTCTTGCTAGCTGAGTGAGATTGCTTTGATTTTTTGAAGATTCATCTTCCAATTAGCCTTTTTATTTTTAATTTTTATTAGTATATGTTTACAGCTTTCACATGGATGAACCATTCTGACTTTAAAAATACACATTAAAGACTATCACACATTTTTGAAGGAGGCATTCATATCTTTTTTTCAATTTTTATTTTTTGTATTAGTATGTTTGCAGTATATAATGATTACATTCATCATAGGGGTTAGGTACACTGTAATTCTTTATATGTCTCCTGTTAGCCTTTCAGAAATCTTTTATGGACCTTACTAGTTCTATGCGATGTATACTGTCAGCTCTCAATGTTGCCTTCGAAGCATTTTTGTACTGGGAAGATTTAGTGTGCAAATGGATTCTGAGCTCTGACAAGACCTGTAGTACATAAGTAGTACCTGTAGCCCACCTGCTTCACATTTTGATATAGAAACCATCATATTCGCAGGGGTGTTATATAGGCTAATCTCTGTCAGCTTCATCTAGCACTGCCCACCTCCCAGTCCAATCCTCTTTTCCTGGCTCTTACAACCACTTCCCTAATAGCTCAATTCAAGCTGTCCGTGGATGTTTAGACACTTGTAACTCTAACTCCCGTTTCACGTGGATGCAATCTTACCAGACTTCTCAGAGCCCCCGGCAAGCACTCTGGCGTGCTCCTAGGACGCCGGTCATTCTACTCCTTGTGGTCACCTTATTACATTGCATTTAAAATATGTTCACCTGTCTGCCTTCCATAGACTTAATTCTGGGAAGGAAGTGTCCCCGTATGCCTTGTTCAGTTGTATTCCTCACCACTAGCATTTTTTTGCTTGATCAAAAATGACACTGGCCTTAGTTTTGGCCCAAAGACAATGCTTCCCTACAACGAGGCTCCCTCCCCCCACCAAAGCTGATACGTTTTCGCTGTTGGAGCAGGACCTCCTTGGAGGCAGACTTTCAGGTGGGAGCCCGTCTGTCTCAACGCTGGAGTCCTCAGCCTGCAGAACCACCGCCGACATCGCGCGCAACCGAAGGGCAAGGATTTGTATGACTGACACAGGAGCCAGCGCTCTGCTCTCTAAGCAGTGAGCTGCGGAGAGGACCCTTGGGGACTACTGGGGTCCCAGGAAAGGTGCCAGGCCCGCTTTGTTCGTCTGGGAAGCGCTCTGAACACTCCGCCTCCTCGGGAGAGCTAGGCCGTCAGCCCCGCCCCGTCCACCTCAGCCCCCACCCACCTGGTTTGCCCGCAGTTACTCAACGTCACCGCCCAGGCAGACAAGTTCCTAAGCCCCGCCTCTGGGGCAAGGGCATGCTCCCCCTCCCGCCTCGGCTCTCAGCAGTTCCGTTAATAGCGAGAAAAAAAAATCCTCCTTTGCGTCCCCGCCTCTCCAATCCTAACGCTCTACTCCCTACTCCCCAGGCGACCACTACATAGCTGGCTACGGAGGCCCCTAAAGTACAAATATCCCCCAGGCCCTGGCGTACGCTGCTAGGGTTTGTCTTTTCTTGCTCCACCCAGTTCTAAGGCGTTCTTTTCTTTTTTTTTTTTTCCGGTTAGGAATCCGGACTGGAGACCAGGTGCCCCCACCCCGCCCTCTTGGGCCGCCGGCATTCCTTCCCTCCCGCCTTGCTGGATGGTGGCGGGAGGGGGAGGAGGAAGTCAGGGCGCCTGCGCAGGGAGGCCGCTTTCCATCCGGGTCCCTGTCTGTGCGGTGCAGCAGGTCGGTAGGCGGGAAATGGCGACTGGCTGAAGGAACTGGTTCTGTTACTGCTGCGGGCTAAGCGGGAAGGACACCCCACATTGCGCAGTCGGGACCATAGCCGGAGCCCGAGGATACTTCTCTGTCGTCATAGTGAGGTAATCCCGTTCGTTCAGACGTTGCCGTTGCCGCCAACCTTAGTCCTCCTCTTCCAGGGCCGTCTGCCGAATCTCCTCCCGCTCTCCGCCGGTCCTCAGCGGTTCCAGCGCGCTGGTAGGCATGCACTGTTTGGCGCGGCGTCTGTCCACTCCGTGGAACCGCTCTTCTCTGGACTTTTCCCTGGGAACGGAATGGGTGCTCGCTTCCCGCCAGCTTCAGCGCTTGGGCTGAGGCCTGTGTTGTGATTTCTGGGGTTAGATTTCACTTTGCTACCCACCCCCACCCCGATCTCCCGTTCCTGGTCTCCAACCTGGTGGGTCCCTCCGGTGTCTGTAAGTTAGAAGATCACTTTTTCGGACCCCCTTGGCCCATCTGCTGTCTGCGGTATTTCTGTTAGGGTGTTTTTAGGGAGGCGTTGCTGTTTAAGTTCTATAAGTATCTTTTGAGAATCTGGAAGACGGGATTTCACTAAGTTGTGTTCGCTTTCTGTACTGTTAAATGTTGAGTTGACATTGTTACTTTTTCAAATCAAAAGTGCTAGTAAAGAACAGTTCATGTGGGAGGCCTCTGATTTCCATAGTGGTCAGTTAAGGGTGAATCTTATTAAACTTAATATTGTTTTCTTTGAGTATTAAATGTCTGTATGAGTGTTTACTTTTGTATTCTTGACCAGAAGTCTGTGGCATATAATTGCATAAATAAATCATGTTTGTTTACTTCTCTCCCTAGTGGTAGCTGAATGTGTAAATGATGTTAAGCACTTTAGAGCACTTTAGGGATGCCTAAAGAGATACTTCTAATAAACTTTCCTAAGAAGCTGAAATGAAATGAAGTGTAGTTAGATGTTCCTTCAAGGCAGGGATTTATCTTTCTGATGATAATAAAGAAATACCAAGATTACTCCTCTACCTAGGTATACAAATTAGTGATTTGAAACGATAGATTTATCTACATAATTTTCAGATTGCAATCGCTTAATGTTCCGCCAGACCATCCATTGCAAAGTTTTACATTTTTGTTTAGTGGTCCATCTGTTATCCTTACAAAAGCAGAGAAATGGCAAGTTAAAGCTAGTTTTACTCATCCTTTTTTTTTGTTCATGTAAGCACTCTCGGTGTTTTTCTGAACTTTTTGAACATGTTGAATTTAGGGTCTTTGTAGTTTTTTTTTTCCTCTCCTGTAATTACGGCTAAAGAATGGCTCATATTACATATCAGTTATTTATAACTCTAAAGCTGTCAGCTCTGTAGGTTCACTTTAGAGAACTTCATTATTGTTACCAAGATATTAGCATTAAATTTCACAAATAGGAATACACAAACATCATTATAATTTTCATCTGGTAGACTTTGTCAAGGTCATAATGTCAAGGCAAAATTTATCTTTTATATGAAACAGCCTTTTACATTTGAGTTGAGCTAGTTGAATGGGGGTTGGAAAGTGGAAGTGTGGGCGTTTTGGATACTTTTGAGTCAATTTGTCCAAAAAACGGGGCCAAATACATAATTTAAAGGGATCTAAAATTTATTGTTCTAGTGTAGGCTTTGTCTGTATATTAATGATCTTTTGAGTAGTTTTTGGTGAAATTTGGTGCACAGATAGCTGAGTTAGCATTCTGGACTACACCTTGAAGAATTCTCCCAAATAGAGCCAGGCATGGTGGTCCATACCTGTCATCCCAGCATATCAGAGGCTATAGCAGGAGGTAAGAGTTGGCAATTCAAGGCCGGCCTTGAAAAAAATCTTCCAAATTGAAGCTGAGGTTGTAGCTCAGCAGTAGAATGCTTGCCTAGCATTCATGAGGGTCCGGTGTTCAATTTCCAGTACTGGGGGGGAAAAAATCCCAAACTGTTTAGTACTACATTCATTTCAGTATTTATATTCTTTTGGTACTTTTTTTTTTGTACTGGGGATTGAACTCAGGACCTTACATTTGCCAGGCAGGCGGTGGCACCACTGAGCTAAGTCCCCAGCTCCTCTTTTGGTACTCTTTTTAGCATGGTTTGAAAGTTGCAAACGCTATTAAGTGATATAGTTCTTAATTTTTATGGACTTGTAGTCACATAGAAGTTATAAATAGGGTTGCATAGAAATACCAAGTAGTATTGGTATATTTTATTTTATTATTATTATTGTTGTTGTTGTTTTTGTTTTGATACCGGGGATCGAACTCAGGACCTTGTGCTTATAAAGCAGGTAACAGCACCACTGAGCTAAATGCCCGGACTATTATTATTTTTTTGAGACAGGGTCTTGCTGGCCCTGATCTCACTCTGTAGTTCAGCATCCTTCTGCTTCAGCCTCCCAAGTGCTGGGATCACAGGCATGTGCCACCAATACCAGCAGGATTAGTACATTTTATAATATTCCATTTTATACAGTGTTTTGTGAGGATTTCATTTGAGCTAGGGAAGTTACTTTCCACTGTTAAGAAAAGATTTGGAGAATTTTTATCTTTTCCAAATTAATGTAGCTGCTTCCAAGTTTGTGATTTTGGTGAGTTGTTTTCATGAGATTATTATACAGTAGAATCCATCTACTGCTGGTTAAAGAACCTTGGATGTACTGCTCTGAAAGAACACATTTGTAACTATAGAATTAATTGCTGAATGAGGAAAATGGTGTTACATGATCTTCGCTATATGAGACTATGTTTTGAATTAATGAGATAAAGAAGTGATTTGCCAGAATTTGGGGGGGGAAATGTAATTATATTTAAAGAAAGAAATGTCTAGCCAGGCATGGTGGCCCATGCCTGTAATCCAGGAACTTGGGAAGCTGAGGCAGGAGGATCACCACAAGTTCAAGGTTAGCCTGAACTGTATAGCAAGACCTTATCTCAAAAACAAAAAAATTATGTCTGTAATTTACCAACTAATTATGAAAGCATAAAGTGGAAAAGATGCTGGTTAAAATTTATTTTTATTTTTATCTACATTTCTACTCCCTCCTTTTTTACTTTTTTTTTTTTTTTTTTT